AGGATCGATTTCAGCCTCTTTTTTCTTTTATTCTTTCGGTTGTTGTTAATTTATGCATTTAAGTAATGTGTTTACTCCTGATGCTTACCAAAAAAATTTGAAAATGTTAATGAAAAAAGTAAAGTCAAAGTGAAATACCTTTTTCCCCTTCCACATCCATGTTAGAAATGCGAGACACATGGGGCTTGTAGTCCTTTTTGAATAGATTTGAAATGACTGCATCTGATGAACTATAAATTGTCAATTCCTGCAGGGTAGTATTTTGGAGAATATAATCCGGCAACTTTTTTAGCTTCGGACAATCATAAATTGTCAAGGAAGAAAGACATGGCATGATTTCTCCTCTGCTTCCATAATCCCACTCTTCCCACTCTTCCACCCCTCCAAACGTCAATGTCTTCAAATTGGGGAAGGCAACAACAGATGATGAAGATGTAGACAAAGACATTTCTATCCCCAAAAATTCAACTCCCACTTTTTTTACTTTCTGCATACCTCTCACACTGAGTGATTCTAGAGAAGGCAATTTCTCCAAGGTAGGCCACTGTTCAGCATTTACAAACTCCAAAATTGCAAGTTCCTTCAGCTTGGTTAAGGACACCATCCAACTGGGCTGAATAAAAGAGAATGTGCTTTGATAACCATGTAATTCTAATGTTTTCAAATCCGAAGGTGGCTTTAAGGCTTCAAAAACAATACTTGGTGATTCATTAGCTGGGCTCACTGGCAAACCATTACGATCAAATTTGAGAGTCAAATTAGTAATCCCCTTCTTATTCTGTAATTGCGCCTTTTCTGCTTCCCTCTGATCTCTAACACTTCCCAATCCTTTTATGCTAAGAGTCCCACAAAGATGATTCAAGTTCCCCAAATCACTTAGTGCAGCTCCTTTATAAGTTACCACAAACACATTCAATGTTTTCAAACTAGTCAATTTCTCCAAACCTTTAGGCATGAAATTCAGAGCTGTCCCCTCATTCCGAAGATGCAACAAGTTGATAAGATCTCCCATTCTATGAGGAAGTCTTTTAAGTCTGTAACATCCACTAATGTCTAGTATAAGCAAATTATACAAGTCACACACTGCCTCAGGCAATTCCTTTAACTCATTTTTTGACAAGTCAAGATGCCTCAAATGTATCAATTTGCTTATTTGTTTTGGACACTTTTTAATTCTAGAATCTGAACATTTCAATATCCTGAGACATTTAAGCCTATCAAACAATTTCAATAATTCAATTTGAGAAATAGGATTTGTTCCATTTGACTCAATAAGCAAAGTGTGCAAGTTTTCAATGCAAGTTTGAATAGCAATAGTCTCTTCTGTTTGCATCATCAAAAAGAAATGACGAGTTTTGCCATTGAAACATTGAATGCTGCTACTACTTCCCATTGTCAAACACTCACCTCTAGTCAGAAACATAGCAAAATCATGCACTATGTCATGCATTTTGCACTTGATAATGCCACCATTTTCATCCATTTCAAAATCTTGAAATAAGAAGCGCATTGACAGGTCATTAAAGTTGTTTTCCCCTATCATCTCCATATCTTGAGTCCCCTTGAGAAAACCTTGTGCCATCCATAACTCGATTAACATTTTTTTCTCTATCACATAGTCTTTTGGAAAGATTGCACAATATAAGAAACACTGCCTCAAGTGTGGTGGTAAATCAAAATAACTAAACATTAAGGAGTGGAAAAGACCTTGTTCAGCCTCTTCAAGTTCCCATACTTCACTTTCTAATACACTTTGCCATTCTGTTATGCTTTTTTTCCAGCGCATAAGGCCACCTAATGTCTTCAAAGCAAGTGGCAAGCCTTTGCACTTTTTTGCAATTTCTCTAGCAATTTCTTCCAAACTTCTACAATCATCATTAGACCTCCCAAAAAAAGCAATTTGACTAAACAATGACCAACCTTCTTCTCTAGATAACTGTCCCACTTTGAACAATTCGCAGCCGATACTTACCGCTACTTTCTCCTTACGGGTGGTCACTAAGATCTTGCTTCCTTGGGAACCATTACTCAACAACAAGTGTGTCAGTTGATCCCACTTTCCATACTCTTCAGTCCACACATCATCTAGGACAAGTAGGAATTTCTTACCCTCGATTGAGGTTTTAAGGTATAGCAATGCATCCTCCAATTTGTCTAACCTTTCAATAGTATCCCTCAACTTCTCCATTTCTAAAATAGCATCCCTCAATTTATCCATTTTTTCAACAGCAGAATTCAATTTATGCAATTTCTCAATAACATCCTTATCAGCATTACAAATCACAAATTTAAGAATATCTTTGGCAATTTTCATCTCACTGAAAGTATCAGAAACACACACCCATATTTTTGCTTCAAAATGAGACTTTACTTTCTCATTATTAAAGGCTAGTTTAGCAAGGGTTGTCTTCCCAATCCCCCCAATACCTACCAAGGAGATCATCTGAACTTTTGATCCTATTTCTTCAATTCTACCCTCATTTAGCAACATATTTACTATCCTCTCCTTATCCTCAACCCTACCCATCACCTCTGCTACATTTATGAAAGAAGTGGTTTCATCACGGTTTGGTTTTTCACTATTTAATACCTTAAACCCATACCTTTCTTTCTCAATTGCAATAACATCCAACCTCTTATTCAAATCTTGTATCTTGTGTGCAGTTTTGAGAAGCAGTTTCCCTCTATTAAAGCAATAGGAAGGAGAGGGGATGAAGGAACATACCTTCGGCTTCGGTTCAAGTTCTGACTTGTGAATTGCAGTGCTCCACTCATCCAATGCATTATCAATGTCATAAGAGACGTCCTTGAGCTCGTCCAACCAAACTCGAACACGAGCCTTCCCCTTGTCCAGTTGCTGCCGCTCGGCATCCTCCAAAACAGCTTTGATGGCTCGAAATTTGCGACTAAGCTCGTTCACTTCTTCACGAACATTGATAACTTGTCTCACCGCTTTCTCTATTTCATCTAGAGCAACTGAAGTCAATTTTTCTAGCACAGCTGAAACAACTGCATCGGCTGCCATGATTGAGAAGAAGGAGGAAAAGAGATACAAGTTTGTATGCTTAATTGTTTGGTGGAGTTAAAGTGGCTTAGGAGGGGATCATGTTTCTCTAGTTTTATAGGAAGAAGACAGCTACTAGTAAATTGATTGGCTCCATTTCTTGCAATTATTGATCTTGGAAAAGGGAAAAAAGAGAAGATACGGGATCACTTTGCTTTTTATTTTTACCATCT